AAATGGAATCTCAGGTCCCTTAACTCATATCAAAGCACAGTCCTAGAGCCAAAAAGCTTCCATCATGCCCTCAATGAAAATTCTTATTTATTGTAGCTGGCTTATTTACATTAGCCAGGACTAATGCTACTGAAAATAAAAAACGCAATTGAATTGTATGGGTTATAGAATTCCACCAGGTGGATTCACAGCCTCACCACATTTCTCATGTGAAAGGTAGGACATTAAGGCCAGGCACGGTGGCTCATGCCTGTAATCCCAGCACTTCGGGAGGCCGAGGCAGGCGGATCACCTGAGGTCAGGAGTTCGAGACCAGCCTGGCCAACATGGCAAAACCCCATCTCTACTAAAAATACAAAATTTAGCCAGGCGTGGTGGCAGGCACCTGTAATCCCAGCTACTTGGGAGGCTGAGGCAAGAGAATCACTTGAACCTGGGGGGCGGAGGTTGCAATGAGCTGAGATCACACCACTGCACTCCAGCCTGGGCCATAGAGCAAGACTCCATCTCAAAAAAAAAAAAAAGGTAGGACATTAAAAGGGATGCTGAAGCTTAGAATGGGGACATCTGGTGGGACTCAGATGAAACTGAGAATCTTGAACCCACACGTCACTCTGAGCCTCTGTTGCCAAAGGAAGGAGCTTGCTCTGTTGTGTCTAAGGAGACTAGCTGTCCTTTTCTTGAAAACTGTATGACAATCTCACATAAGGAGATGCCCATTCTCCTTCAGACCCACCACAACTACTCCCTGTTGGCACCTGACTCATACGTAGAATCTTAGATTTTTAGTACCAACTATGGCCTCAAATGAGATAGCTTTTACACCACGAGAACTGCAAGATTTTGCCAACATATATTGGCAGAGACCTAAGGAGTGTGTGAAGGTGTCAGACCAAGGCAGGCAGAAGAACAGGAGTAGACTGAACTCACTGACCAAGGTGCACTAAGATTTTGGATATCATATGTTAGTTTCCTTAGCTGGAGGTGGCTCTCAAAGCTTATTTGGTTGGTGGCTGGAACTAGGACTCCATGGTGGCCTAAGTTTAGTTAGCATAGATGCCAGAGCTACCCTGGCACGCTATGGCATGCAAAGGCTTAGGGAGATCGGAGTGTTGAAAGGATTTACCATGGCAACCTGCATACCCACCCACCAACTACATACCCCAGGAGACCCCAGAAAATGCTTTCTCTGTGAAAGAGCTGAGAAATACATTCATGGGGAAAACAGCTGCATCCTTAGAAGGTCTGTGGCTTTCTCCTTTCTAGGCCAGGTATGATGGATCGGGGGTGTGACCACCATTGATATTGATGGATCGGGGGTGTGACCACCATTGATATGAGCTTCCAAGAGCAGAAGCCAACAGGCAGTGCCCGACCTTCAGGCGCAATGCAAGCATACCCGCCATAAAGGACGGCACCACATGCCTGTGGTCAGCAAGCCCTGGCCTGTAGGAGGTTTGGCAGAGGCTAACTGTCCCAAGGTCCCTGGGACTGAAATAGAGGAGAAGCCCGCTCAAGTATTGCTTGGGGACTCATTTCACAACAAAGGAAGTGGAGCAATGGGTTCAAGCCCATAGAATTAACTTCAAGGAGAAGGAAAAGAATCAGAGGCACAGACGACAGGAGAGGCAAGAAACCAGCAGTCCCAGAGAAAGCAGCAAAGAGACAGCAGGTGCTGTTGACTGTCTAGTTCCCGGGAGGCTGAGCTGCGTGTCCTGCACTGGGGCCCCATGTGAGACCCCAATATCCTCCTGAGGCTGTGTAGTATCGCGTGGGCTTTGTATTCTTTCCCCTGTCTAGCAGATAATAGATCTGTAATTATTGGCTCGGGGCAGGGATGTGACTTTCACAAAAGCAGATACAAAAGCCTTTAAGGTTTTTTGTTTGTTTGTTTTGTTTTTTGTTTTTTTTGAGATGGAGGCTTGTGCTGTTGCCCAGGCTGGAGTGCAGTGTCACAATCTCAGCTCACTGCAACCTCTGCCTCCCTAGTTCAAGCGATTCTCCTGCCTCAGCCTCCTGACTAGCTGGGATTACAGGCGTATACCACCACGCCCAGCTAATTTTTGTATTTTTACTAGAGACAGGGTTTCACCATGTTGGCCAGGCTGGTCTCGAACTCCTGACCTCAAATGATCCACCCGCCTCGGCCTCCCAAAATGCTGGGATTATAGGTGTGAGTCACCATGCCCAGCTTCCTTTTTTCTTTGTCTTTCTTTCTTTTTTTTTTTTTTTTTTTTTTTTTTTTTGAGACAGAGTCTTGCTGTCTTGGCCAGGCTGGAGTGCAGTGGCATGATCTCGGCTCACTGCAACCTCCGCCTCCCGGGTTCACACCATTCTCCTGCCTCAGCCTCCCAAGTAGCTGGGACTATAGGCGCCCGCCACTACACCCGACTTTTTTAATATTTTTAGTAAAGACGGGGTTTCACTGTGTTAACCAGGATGGTCTTGATCTCCTAACCTGGTGATCTGCCCACCTTGGCCCCCAAAGTGCTGAGATTACAGGCATGAGCCACCATGTCCGGACTTCTTCCTTTTGTTTTTCAAAGACCCTAGCTCTTAGGTTCTGGAATCATAAAGTGAAATGTCCATGGAAATCAGGCTAAGTACCATATGTGAGTGAAACAGGGCCGGTGTAGGGCAATAGGGAGTGCACTAGACTGCGGTAAACCGGAGAGTGAACGCTCTGCTTCAAGACGTTCCAATTTAATTTTTTAAAAACAACGCTAGGGAACAGGTATTGGACTCCAGATTGACTGGGATTTTTTGAAATCACAGAGGAATCAGGGCTCAAAACAGAAATAAATCTGAGTGGTAGAAAAAGAAACGGGAATGGCTGTGGTAGACACCTGTCTTGTGTGTACCCCTCCGTACATTTGGAGAATCCCCCACTGTCTGAGTCTTCATGAGAAACGGCAGCTGCCTCGCACAATAAACGCCAAATAATTTTAAAATAATAATGGTAGGCCGGGCACGGTGGCTTACCCCTGTAATCCCAGCACTTTGGGAGGCCAAGGCGGTGGATCACAAGGTCAAGAGATCGAGACCATCCTGGCCAACGTGGTGAAATCCTGTCTCCACTAAAAATACAAAAATTAGCTGGGCGTGGTGGCGTGCTTATAGTCTCAGCTATTCCAGAGGCTGAGGCAGGAGAATCGCTTGAACCCAGGAGGCGGAGGTGTCAGTGAGCCACAATCGTGCCACTGCACTCCAGCCTGGCGACGAAAGAGACTCCATCTCAGAATAATAATAATCATAATGGTAATAGCTAAAACTTAAAATGCTTACTCAGTCACCTCTTCTACATGCTTCACATATATTCTGTTATTTAGTTCACGCAGCCCCCTCCCCCACAGAGGTGGGCATGACTACACTATCCCCATTTTGTAGATGAGCAAGCTGAGGCATGCATGGCGTCCAAGCTCACACAGACATGTGGCAGAGCCTGGATTCAAATCCAGTCTGGCTCCAGCATCCACGCACTTAATGCCTTGCCACCCTTCCAATGAGGGTATTAGCTTGTGACAGAGCTCGGCCAACTAGACTTGGAATCTGGAGCAACTGATCTGAAGAAGCAGAGACAGGGAGAAGCTAATCCAGTGGCAGCAACAATGTCGAATATCCAGGGACAGCAGGGCGGCAGTGACGATCGGCTCTGATGTTCTCTGACTCTGTCGCCCATTGCCCGGCAGCAGTGGTAGCGATGGCCTCATCAGGCAAATTCCATGGCATGCTTCCCTTTGTCTGCACGTCCTCTTTGGAGTCTATTTTTGCAGTTTCTCAACAACTCTGTGAGCTCTCCAGGTGTTGTTTCAATAAATTCCTTTTCCACTTGAGTCAGCTGGAGTCCACCTTTGTTGCTCACACCCAGGTATCCCAACTGATGGGCCCCGTTTGATGCACACCTGTGTCTGTGATCCCAGCTCTGTGGCTGCAGCACTTACAATAAGCTCTCTTGTGACTCAAGCTTCTGTGGGAGGGATTCTGGCCTTTGCAGCTCTCCAGCCCTGTATTCAAATAACCCTGACTTTCCAGACTCTGAAGCCACACCAGGAGGGGAGCGAGGCTGCAGGGCTACCAGCTCCAGGACAATCACATCTGTTCAGGTGACAGTGGCCAGGACTGCTGCAGATAGTGCCATTATGGCCAGGTATTGAGCTGACCCAGATGAGGGGTTTTTTTTAATCACATTTCATCATTATTAAGAATTAGCTCTGTGTCATTAGCACACCAAGCTATCAACTCAAATCCGTTCTACCATCTGGAAGAGGCTCACACGAACAGCATGGAGCCCAGATGGATGCTGTTAGGAGAGCTGTGAGCAGAGATCAGCAGAGAAGGAGGGAGGGAGAGACAGAGAAAGACAGAGCAGACACAGAGAGAAATAGAGACAGACAGAAGTAGAGAGACAGAGAGAGAGAAATAGAGAAACAGGGAAGAAAGGGAGAGACATAGAAAGAGGGGAAGGGAGAAAAAGATAGATGGCGAGAAATAGAGACAGCGATAGAAGAACAGAGAGACTTACAGAAAAGGGAAATCAAAGAGGAGAGAGAGATACACAGAGAGACAGAGAAGAGTGGGAAAGAGAAACAGAGAGACGGGGAGAAGGGGAGAGAGAGACAAAAAGACAAAGAAAGAGATGGAGAGTGAGCAAGAGAGTTGTAAGGAGAGAAACTGAGAAACAGGGACTGTAAGAGAGACAGTCAATGTCGAGGAGACCCCGTGACAAGGAGAGATGGGATGTGTCAGGGCACCCTGGGACAAAGTTCCTGGGACAGATAAAGCCACAGCTGTGCTTCCCTCTCTCCCAGGCACCACGCCCAACCTTGCAAAGGAAGGTGGGGCCCTCCTATTAAGGGGTCAAAGGTGAACAACAATGAGGAACAACCCAAACGTCCATTAATAAGGGAGGGGCATAAATTACACAAGATTCATACAATGGAATACTATAGAGAAACTGAATTTTAAAATATTGTTTTTAAAAACACACAAAAAAACACAAGTTTCAAGGAAGAACTCTCCTTAGGAGATATGTTAGTCTATTCAGGATGCCACAACAAAATGCCTTAGTGGGTTGTTTATAAGCAACAGAAATGTATTCCTCATAGTTCTGGAGGCTGGACAGTCCAAGGTCAACGTGCCAGCAGATTCCATGAGGGCCCACCCTCTGCATCACAGGTGGCCCCTTCTTGCAGCATCTTCGGTTGGTGGAAGGGGTGAACAAGCTCCCTTGGGCCTCCTTTAAGAGGGCACTAATCCCAATCATGACAGTAGGGCCCTCATGACCTCTCACCTCCCAAAGGCCCCACCTCTTGCTACCCCCAAGGTAGGGATTAGGTTTCCACATAAGAATCTTCAGACCATAGCAGGAGACAATAGTCCTAATTATGCACGTTTGTTTCAACAGCTTCCCCAGCTCCATCCTCAGCTTGGCATTGCTGGCAGGTGACCTAAGACAACAGAAGAGTGTCACTAAATCACATTTGGGGCTGTCACCATGGTTTCCAGAAGAACATTTGTGAAGCACACCCTTCCGTCTCCCTCAGTTGAAGCTGGCCTTGAATCAGGGGCCTTTGGAGGAAGGCAAAAGGTTCTCATGTAAGGAGGTGAACCCCTTTCCCTCTCACCTGCCCCATCCTCATCTCTACCCACCCCCCAACACACACACACACACATAGCCGTGGCTGGGACAGTTAGCAAGTCCTTCTCCCAGCCTGGTCAGACCCAGAGCAGGAAGAGCACTGTGCCAGAGTCCCCTCCCAGAGCCATGCCTCAGCAGGCTGTTCCCAGGCTGCTCACAAAGGCTCCATGAAGAACCCGGGCAAGAATCCATTTGCCATGTGCCCCATTTTCTAGACGTGAACACTGAGTCCCAGTGATAAGCTGGCCAAGGGCCAGGACTTCTGCACTCACAGTCTGCCAGGGGGGCCAAGGGGGAGCCACGGTTTCTGCCTGCACAGCGGCCGTTCCCTTCCCTGCTGAGAGGAGGAGGCAGCTCTCCTTTGGTGAACTACAAAGGCATGTTGTTGACAAGGGATGCTCCCTACCATGAGTGGTCACATGACCCAAGCCTAGCCAATCAGATTCACAGGGAGGGTTTGGGACAAGCCGGGTACCCTAATTTCCACCGATGAGAGTCAGGCCTGAGAGTTTTGCTGGAATCCCTGGTTCCGAGAAGTCCAGCTTCTTGGAAAAGGCCCCTGGAGTGTTCTTGGGTTGCTGAGAAGCAGGCCCTGGGAGGCCAGGAGGACAAGGGATATTGGGGGTGACTCCTATGAAAGATAAAAGGTGGAGGAAGCAGAACTGGGAAGAAAAGGCTTCAGCCCCTGACACGAATCTCACGGCAGCCATCACAGCAAGGTCCAGTAAATTTATATTTATATTTATATTATTATTAGATATAATACTCATCATCTAAAATATTTTGAGTACCACACTTAAACGTTTTTGTTTTTCCAAACTTGGCCTTTATACATCAAAGGAGGCTTCTTTCCACCCTGCACAGCTTGGATGGAGCCAGTGAGCAGAACTAGGCCCAGCCACTGCCTTTGGTTTGTCTTCCTCTGAAGGAAAAATACACCAGCAAAGACGACGTTCTATCACCCAATTTGAGTGTCTCATTACAATTACATAATGCTAATTGCCAGCTTTGTGTTCCATATGGCAACTGGTTTTTTTTTTTTTTTTTTTTTTTTTTTTTTTTTGAGACGGAGTCTCACTCTGTCACCCAGGCTGGAGTGCAGTGGCCGGATCTCAGCTCACTGCAAGCTCCGCCTCCCGGGTTCACGCCATTCTCCGGCCTCAGCCTCCCAAGTAGCTGGGACTACAGGCGCCCGCCACCTCGCCCGGCTAGTTTTTTTTGTATTTCTTAATAGAGACGGGGTTTCACCGTGTTAGCCAGGATGGTCTCGATCTCCTGACCTCGTGATCCGCCCGTCTCGGCCTCCCAAAGTGCTGGGATTACAGGCTTGAGCCACCGCGCCCGGCCAGCAACTTGTTAAAGTAATTGAACAAAATATAACTAATGAACAATTATAATGAAGTTCATAATTAGGTCCTTGAAACACTTGATACAAAAAATATTTCAGATTCTTTTTCAAAAAAACTGTACTCAAGTGAGGTGAGGTGAGGCTGACCCAGGAACTGAAGAAAGCTATGAATGGCTCCTCTGGTTTGAAAGCAATAAAATCCCCCAAATCATTACCCAGGTAACAGCACTGGCCTCCCAGAGCTGATACACTAATTTGAAGGAGATGGTGGATGTGAGTGGCTAACTCGAGGCTTTGGCAGGTAGTAGGTGAACAAGAAATACTTGTTCCTTCCCTCCTGTTGGGCAGGAAGTTCACTGAGGGGAGACAATGCTATCCATTACTGTCTATATTCTGTGGGGCCTTGTCTGGGAGCCTGACACCCAGAGGTTCTTCGAAAGTGGAGCTAAAAAGAGAATATTGAATCTGCTGCTTCCTGAAGACGTCCTCCCCCACCACTCAAGATGAACAATAACAGAGGAACCACAGGTCACACACTCAGATCAGCAACAGTATAGCGGACTCTGTAGTTGGCAACCCAACAGCCATTACCACAATCGAGGTGGAAAATTCAATATCTAAATAGTAACTTCACAGTGGAGGAGACTGGAAGCCCCACCTTACCCAAGCAGCCAAAGTTAACATCCCCAATAATGGGACTAATGAGCATTAGTCCCATTATTAGTAATGAGCATTAGTCCCCTTATTAGTAATGAGCATTAGTCCCATTAATAATGAGCATTAGTCCCATTACTGGGGCTCTGATGTGTGGCCTCTGATATGACCTACCTCAAGAAGGCCTCAGCACCACCTCCACACAGTCCTGCCAAAAGTTCCTAACTGAATCCAAACATCAGGAGCCATCAGACAACCCAATGTGAAGAGCATGCTGCAAAGTCACTGGCCTGTCCTCTCGAAAACATCAAAGCCATGGAAGGCAAAGAAAGTCCCAGGAAGTTCTTCTGATTCACGGAGAATAAGGAGATGTTTCAATAGAGTGCATTGTGTGATCTGGGCCTTTATTCTGCTATAAAGAACATTTTTTTTTTTTTTTTGAGACGGAGTCATCTGGGCTCGCTGCAAGCTCCGCCTCCCGGGTTCACACCATTCTCTTGTCTCAGCCTCCTGAGTAGCTGGGACTACAGGTGCCTGCCACCATGCCCGGCTAATTTTTTGTATTTTTAGTAGAGACGGGGTTTCACTGTGTTAGCCGGGATGGTCTCAATCTCCTGACCTCGTGATCCGCCCGCCTTGGCCTCCCAAAGTGCTGGGATTACAGGCGTGAGTCACCGTGCCCAGCCAAAGGACATTATTAAGACAAAGGCAGGATCTGAAAAAGGTTAGTAGATTAGATAATAGTAGTTTCCATGTTAATTTCCTGATGATTGTGCTATGGCTGTGTAAGAGAATATCCTTGTTTTTAGGAATTCACAATGGAGTATTTAGGGACAAAGGGACATTGTGCCTGCAGTTGACTCAAACCATTCAGAAAAAAAAAACCCACATAAGTGTGTATGTATGCATGTGTGTGTATGTAGGGAGAGGGAAAAAGATTAAACAAATGTCACATGATGCCAACATTTGGGCAGTTTGAGTGAAGAATATCTAGAACTGTTTATGTTATTCTTGAAACTTTAATTTGAAATTATGTCAAAACACAAAAAGGAAAGGAATACTGCTTCCCAGTTTCCTCTAGAGCTAGGGGTGGCCAAGAGACACAGTTCTAGCCAATGAGTTGGGGGAGAAGGCTGCTGAGGATCTTTCTGGGGATAAATTTTCCTCTGGTAAAATAAGAATGGGCTTCAAAGAGACTTCTCACTGCACTGGCTGGCTCACTGCTTTAAGAATGTGAGGATGTGGTGCCAGAGCTGTGGCAGCCATCTTGTGACCATGAGGAAAAGGCCAAGAAACTCACAAAGCTTTCCCCATGTATGAGTTTCCCTGATACTGTTGCCCCACTTATTAGGTTACATAAGATCATTCAATTCCTGTACTCCTTCAATCCCATTCATCATTCCAGGCCCAATGTCAGAACCTGTATCACTCAGGACCAGGCGGACAGGGCAGCCCCCATGTCAAATATTACCAAAGGGGAAAGACAGCTCCGGAGACCTTACATCGGCAATGAAGTGCTGTGGCCTAGAAACGACACATCCTTTCCAATCACAACTCATTGGCCTTCATAGAACACAGGGCCTGGCACCGATTCCACAATTCTTATTCTTGAGGGGTTTGCATGCCAAAGTTTTGCCCCTTTTCCTCAACTATAAATTCCTCATCGTAAGTTTTTAAAGATAATGATGCCCAGACTTTTCCCCCAAACTATTCAAATCATCACCTGAGGTCAGGAGTCCGAGACAAGCCTGGGCAACATGGTGAAACCCCGTCTCTACTAAAAACACAAAAATTAGCCAGGCGTGGTGGTGCGTGCCTGTAATCCCAGCTACTCGGGAGACTTAGGCACGAGAATCACTTGAACCTGGGAGGCAGAGGGTTGCAGTGAGCCGATATCGTGGCACTGCACTCCAGCCTGAGTGACAAAATGAGGCTCCGTCTAAAAAATTTTTTAAAAATCAGAATCCCTGTGAGTAGGGCCTGGAAATCAGTATTTTATAATTCAGGTATAACATACATTTATAGTCCATAGCAAAAATTTTAACTGTACATCTCAAATATTTTTATTATGGTAAAATATACATAACATAAAACTTGCCACTTTACCCATTTTTAAGTGTACAGTTCAGTGGCATCAAGTACATTCACGGTGTGACGCAAAAGTCACCACCATCCATTTATAGAACCTTTTTATCATCCCAAACAAAAACTATGTACCCATCAAACATGCTCTCCCCATTCCTTCTCTCTCCCCATCCCTGAATAATCTCTGGTCTACTTTCTGTCTCTATGAATTTGACCATTCTAGGTATTTCATGTAAGTGGAATCATACAGTATTATTCATTTTGTGACCAGGGTCTGTCACTTATGATAATGTGTTCAAGGTTCATGCACATTGCAGCATATGCCTGTGTGTGTGTGTGTGCACATGTATGCGTGTGTTCATTCCTTTTCATATAATATCATGAAATAAAATGTGTTCTGGCCGGGCGCGGTGGCTCTAGCCTGTAATCCCAGCACTTTGGGAGACTGAGACGGGCAGATCACGAGGTCAGGAGATCGAGACCATCCTGGCTAACACGGTGAAACCCTGTCTCTACTAAAAATTACAAAAAACTAGCCGGGCGAGGTGGCGGGCGCCTGTAGTCCCAGCTACTCGGGAGGCTGAGGCAGGAGAATGGCATAAACCCAGGAGGCAGAGCTTGCAGTGAGCTGAGATCTGGCCACTGCACTCCAGCCTGGGCGACAGAGCGAGACTCCGTTTCAAAAAAAAAAAAAAGTGTTCTATCCCTACAATAGAATATTATTCAGCCATAAAAAGGAATGAAGTTCCTCTATGTTCTACAGTATTCTATTGCAGGGATCGAACACGTTTTGTTTATCATTCATCAGTGACAAACTCTTGGGTTGCCTCTGCCTTTTGGTGATTGTGAAGAACGCTGCTACAAACATTAGCATACAAGCATCTGTTTGTGTCCTGGCTTTCAGTTCTTTTAGGTATATACCTAGTATATATACCTAGTAGTGCAACTCCTGGCTCACAGAGTAATTATAAGTTTAACTTTCTGAGGAACCACCAGCATGTTTCCACAACAGATGCACAATTTACATTCCCACCAGCAAGGTACCAGGGTTCCAGTTTTTCCACATCCTCGTCAAAGCCCAGTTGTTTGGTACACATACATGAACTCAAGTAACCACCATGTAGATAAAGACATCTAACATTTCCTGCACCCCAGAAGGTACCCTCATGAGAACCGGTATTGTTGCAAGCTCCCCGGCAGCCAGGGTCAGGAACCATGCCCTAAACTTTTAGTGGTTCTATCTCTGGCAAGGCTGGCTAACACTCAACCTAAAAATAAACCTCGAGTCTGAAAATGGAACATTAAAAATGACATTGTCACCTTGACAGAGTGGCTAATAATGCTCCAGCGGGCAGGAGTCCATCAATCATGGGCCTCTGCCTTCTGTTTGGAGAGCTGAGGAAGATGCCAAGATGGAAAAGAGGGATGCAGCACAGGACAAGCCAGGGTGGGTGCCTGGGCACGGAAATCCCAGCCCACACCTCCCCAGGCCTCTCCCCAAACTGGGAACAAGAAATCTAGCAGCCAGACAGAAGCACTGCCTTCCCTGAATTCAATTTGCAAGGTCAATCATGTAAGAACCCAGGCCTAATAGAATTGTCACATGTGTCACGGTCATTTACAACGCACTCTTGCCACATCTGAACATGAAAGCAATTATGTGATACATACTTTGGCAAGAACCTGAGGTTCCCATCAAGAGGGAGAGAAACACTGTCAAGTCAGGTTATTTAAAGAAAGAAAGAACGAAAAGAAGGAAAGCTACAAAGACACATTCATTATGAAAATTTGAAAATTTCCACTTCCCTAGAAATCACATAAGAAGACTTAAGAGTCGGAATCCTTTTGAAAGCTCCATTGTCTTAAGAGTATAAATAGCATCTTTTTAGAAACACACAATTTCAATCAAGCTGGAATAATGGGAAGTACCATTCATGGAACGTTGTCTTTTAAAATTTCATGACACATGAAATGATTCTCACTCCAAATCTAATTAGAGGCTCAGGCATATGAGAGTTTGTGACAACGTCAAAGCGCTTGGAAAACGTACATGTAATTGATCTTCTTCACTGGGGTATGATTTCTTTTAATCAATCTAGAGATTCAGGAAGTACCCAAAGAAAGGACCACGAGAAATCCTTCTCGGGAGCTCTTTCCAAAAGGGCTGGCCCTAGCCCATGGGACCTTGGGCAAGTTCCTTGAACCTGAGCCTTATTCCCCATCTTCAAAATAGGGATAATGATGACACCTACCTCCTAGGGTTATAGTCAGGATCGTGGCCCTGGAACAGCGCCCAGCATACAGTGTGTACTAGAGCAATGTTAGCTATTATTGGCACCAAGTGGCTAAGCCCTAACGGCTCAACAGAACCCAGCCCAAAGCCCACACAACTGTGACTCCAGCCCCTGAAGCCAGTGGTCTCAGGCCCTGTTGCAAAAGGACAGCTCAGCAGACCACACAATAGGAGCCATATCCTTTAGCCACCAGACAGCCCAGGCTGACAAAAATCTTTAGTAACAGGCACAGAGGGGACCCAGTAGTCATTATCAAAACTGCAGTTCCCTCTGCCCCAGCCTGGGTGAGACATGAGCACCCACCACCTCCCTCTTCAAATGCCTTCTTTCAAGTGCCAGTTCCCACCAGCAGTCCTTCAGCCCTGCTTGCCTGCAGGCCAGGGACTCCTGCCCCAGGCCACTCAAGGTTTCCATCCTACCTGGGGCCTCTGATGGACCATAGAAGGGCACCGTCTCTGCTCTCCCAGGATATTTTTTGGGGAAATGGGCCATTGACGAAGACAGGTGGCACAGCACGCTGCTCACAGAGTCGGCAGCCAGGATTCCCGGGCTCCAGTTCCCAGTCCGCTACTGTTGGCTGGGTGGGTCAAACTCTCTGCACCTCAGTTGTCATCCTGTAAAAACAGAGATCATAAAAGCATCTTCTTTGTGGGATACTTGTGAGGGTTAAACGAGTTGATGCTTTACGTGCTCAGGACAGCCTAAGAGCCCACTGAGGGTTTGCTCAAGGAGTGGTTTCCACTCTGCTTAGCCCACACTGTAGACTTTGCAGAAACATGACTATTTTTCAGTAACCAAAGTTAATTTTTTATGAACTCCCACTCTTGTAGGGATGCTGAATCTGCCATAGGTGAGACTTTCCTTCTTTCCCCAGCGTTGTGCCTATATTTGGGCAGGAGTGTGTCTCGCCATAGCAGGGGATGGAGGGGACATGTTCTCACTATCGCCTCCCAACCGCAGTGCCCACTGAGGTGGCCTTATTGCTCTCTGGATCTAATCACTGACCCAGGGAGGCCCTTCTGGCAGAGCCTGGGGATGACGATGATGCAGACCCCGCAGGGCTGTCTGAAGACTAATGAATCAATGCACATGTAGCCCTTAGAACAGGGCCCAGCCCATGCTGGTGGTCATTCCATGTTAGCCACTTTGACCTGGCCATCGGGGACCCAAGGAATGTGGGCCCAGCCTTGCCTCATCTTCCCTTTTATTCCAAGAGAAGCTGAGAAATCTCCCAATTTCTAAATTGGCATTGGATCCAAATAAACAGTGATTGTGAGAAGCAAGCAAGATACAGCTGAGGGCTACATTTGAACCCTTGGCCATTAGTTTGAGATGTCTGTCCCTTGTGGCTAAGTTGGCCATTCATGGCTAGTCCCATTTTACAGATGGAAGAGGTAAGGCCCTGAGTGGTCGAAAAACTTGCAGTATGACGCAGTTGGCTGAGCCAGGACTTTAACCCAGACTGTTGGATCCAGGGTCAGTCCTCTCACACTTGTGCCTTCCATTAACATCCATGGCCTTTAGACAGAGCAGGCTCCTGTTGTCCTCAGCTTCCCTGTGGCTGTACCCGACCTTCTACCTGTATTTACATCACCAAATCCCTGTTCCAATTACAACTGCTGTATAAATATACCGAAATTTAGTAGCATACAACAAAAGTGATCTTATTATATTTCACAGATTCCATGGGTCAGGAATTCAGTCAAGGCTTGACTGGGTGATTCTTCTGTTCCACGTGGTGTCAACTGAGGTTACTCAATGATATGCAGCTGGCAGATGGCCGATCCAGAGGCTGAAAGATGGCTCCATTCATATGCCTGGTGCCTTGGTGGGGATGGCTGGAAGATGGGGCTCTGCTGGGACTTCTGACCACAGCGCCTCCACGTGGCTCTTCCAGCATGGTACCTCAGGGTATGAGACCTCAAATGGTAGCGGGCTCCTGCCAATAAGCATCCCCAAAAGAACCAGGCAGAGCTACCTGGTTTTCCTGGTCCAGGCTATAAGTCACTGAGCGTCACCTCTGCTATACTTTATAGAACAAACCAGTCACCAGCCCACCTAGATTGGTGGGGAGGGGATATAGACATGCCCCTCACCAAAAGAAGTGTCAAAAATTGTGTGGCCGTTTTTCTTTAACTGCCACAACCCCTGAGGTAACTGTAAAGTTCAAGAGCACAACAATTTTATAAGATGGATTTATCCCGGAAGGGGCTGCTGCTTCTCAAAAGGTGGCCTCCCACTTAAATCCCACGGATCCTCAAAACCCAGTTCTTTCATCTGCATTTTGTGCAAATAAGCCTCATTTGTCTTCATGACCCGTGAGCACGCAGACCTAGAAAAACTTTTTTTTTTTTTTTTGGAATTCTGATTGGGAATTCTTCCAGGCCAGAACCAGGCAGTTCTTTAAAACAAGGCCTGGCTTACCGATTTGCATGCATCCACCATCACTGGGGACCTCATTGCCTGAGGCAAAGGTCCCCAACCTTTTTGGCACCAGGGAACTGTTTCGTGGAAGACAGTTTTTCCATGGGGAGAATTGATTGTTGCAGGATGAAACAGTTCCACTCATCAGGCATTAGCTTCTCCTAAGGAGCGCACAACCTAGATCCCTGACATGACTGAAGTTCACAACAGAGTTTGAGCTCCTGAGAGACTCGAATGCCACGGCTGATCTGACAGGAGGCAGAGGTCAGGCGGTAACGCTCTCTCGCCTGCTGCTCACCTCCCACTGTGCGGCGCAGTTCCCAGCAGGCCACGGGCTGGTACTGGTCCACGGCCTGGGGCTTGGGGAACCCTGGTAAGCCATCTAGAGTCAGGCAGAGAATCAAGCAGTGACCTAAGCTCACAACTCAGCCGCGGCACTTCTTCCTCACCTGGAATTCTGCCTCTTCACAAAAGCCCCATGACTGCTATTAGGTGGAGGTGCTTGTCACGCCTGAGATCCATCCTCTCCCGGTTCAGCCTCCAAGCCCTGATCTTTCCCTGAGGCGCCTCCATGCCCCAAGCTCAGGTCACGTGTTTCCAGTTGAACTGGCCCCGCCTCCTGCCGCAGGGCAGTCACATGATCCAGGTGCCACCAATGAGAACCTCCCATTCCCCTGGTCTCCATGATTGGTTCAGAGATGGGCACATGACCTGGGCCAAGCCAATGGGACTCCTCTTCAGGCTTTTGTTGGAACTTCGGCAAAAAGTCAGACTGACGCCTACGCAGGAGAAAGAAGGAAGGTGAGATTGTAAAAGAATAGGAGATAGCATTTATTGAGCACCTGCTATGTGCCCAGCACTATTTTATTGGCAACATGGTTATTTCACTACCATCACAGCCCCATGAAATACATAGTATTCTCTTTTTTCTCTTTTCTTTTCTTTTTTTCTTTTTTTTTTGGAAACGGAGTCTCACTGTGTCACCCAGGCTGGAGTGCAATGGCACAATCTTGGCTCACTGCAACCTCTGCCTCCTGAGTTCAAGCAATTCTCCTGCCTCAGCCTCCGAGTAGTTGGGATTACAGGTGCCCACCACCACGCCCAGCTAATGTTTGTATTTTTAGTAGAGATGGGGTTTCAGCATGTTGGCCAGGCTGGTCTCGCACTCCTGACCTCAGGTGCTCCACCCGCCTCGGCCTCCCAAAGTGCTGGGATTACAGGCATGAACCACCACGCCCAGCTGAGATGCATAGTATTATTAATCGCCACATTTCTAAATGGGAGAAAGGAGGTTCAAAGAGGTTAAGTGAGGTGTGTGGTCACACAGGAAGAGGCAGAGCCATCACTCACATCCAGGCACTTGGTTCCAGAATAGTGTTCCAGATTTAAGAAACCTTCGGGATACTTGGTTACGTTTTAGTTTCTGATTAGCAATAAATACTTTTTGGTATAAACGCATCCTATGCAATATTTGGGACGTTCTTACACTGAAAAACTAGCTATTCATTGTTTTTCTGAAACTTACATTTAACTGGGTGTCCTGTATTTTATCCAGCAACCCAATTCCAGAGCCCATGGTCTTAACCACTATGCCCTACTGCCCATACAGATGTCATGAGAGATGTTGAATCCTGATTACATTGACCCAGCCCTGGATCCTGCTGTGCCTGAAGCCAGTGATGAGAGATGGCTTTCTGTCACTTGCATCTGAAGAGTTCTGACTGACATAGTGCTATGCCAAAGCCAAATGAGCACTTTATTGAGCCCTACTCTGTAGTTGGGACCAAGGGGTGGGAGATACAGAGGAGGTGAAGGAGGAAGATTGCCATCCTCAAGGACCAGAGTGGGGCTGAGAAGACAGAACTCACATGTCTGGAGGTGCTAAGTAGAGTGTGCCGCACACGGAGGCCTGGGCCACTGGCCGAGTGTGTTAGTGCTCTACTGCTGCATGGTAAATTATCACACACTTAGCAGTGGAAAACAGACCGAGACTCTGTTGTGCTGGGGTGGGAGCAGGAGACAGGCACAGGGAGGCTGCAGGGAGAAAGAAGGGGCAAGGGAGGAAAGGAGAGAGGGAGCCAGCACCTGTGAAAAGAGGAAACTAAACAGGGCTGGTTGCTGCCTCCTGCTTCTTAAAGGAAACCACCTGCCCATCCAGGGCCCACCTCCCCAGCCCTCAGTCCTGTTACTGTGTGCAGCGGGTTCCACACCTGAAGGGGCTATATGACCCAGGCCTAATCAATCAGCATATTCCCTCCTCCTGGCCAGTGATTGGCTCAGGTTTGGTCATATGATCCAAATAGCCAATAAGCTTCAAGATGGGGACTCAAGTTGAAACTACTTGGGGGAAATCTTTCTTCCCGTCTTAACACTGTGAGGACATAAGCCTGGAGCTGAAAGAATTCGTCTTGCCATCATTAGAGGAGAGTCCATCTGAGAATGTCAACACAGAGGAAGGCAGAGATGAGATGGAGAGAGAGAACACTGATAATGTCATCAGAGCATCTGGATCCAGCCACACCTGAAGCTAATCCTAGCATTGGAGTTTTCAAAATGGTGAGCCAATTACCCCTTTTCTGCTTGAGCCAGTTGGTGTTGGGGTTTCTGTTACTAGTAGCCAGCAAAATATTTAGTCATGATTGAAAAAAAAAAAGTGGATGCCAAAAACAAAGGGACCAGGCCCCGCAGGTAAATAGTGAGCAGGGTTGGTGAGACTGATAAGCACAGAGCCTACAAAATGGAAACTGGGTCCAAGCCTCGTGGTGCCGCTTGACAACCACTCCCTTTTACTCTCCCAAAAACCCAACATGACTTGTGATCTCAGTGTTTGAGCCAGGGAAAGAAAGAAAGAAGTAGGAGGGAGTCCCAAGATGAAATCGTTTGGAAATAGTCCCAGAGCATAATGAATTGACTAACACCTGTTTCTCCCCTGGAAGTCATCTAATGAAATTATTAGACCATCAATTTACCACCGTGATGGCCAAGAGTGCTCTTTAACGGGATAAACCGTGACAACAAAGCCAGAATTCCACTTGTAATATGCCTTACACACCTTTATTTTTTGTTTGTTTTTGTTTTTTCTTCACTGCAACCTCCGCCTCCCGGGTTCAAGCGATTCTCCTGCCTCAGACTCCTGAGTAGCTGGGATTACAGGTGTGCACCACCATGCCCGACTAATTTTTGTGGGTTTTTTTGTTTTTTGGTTTTTTGGTATTTTTAGTAGAGATGGGGTTTTGCCATGTTAACCAGGCTGGTCTCAACCTCCTGACCTCAGGTGATTTGCCTGCCTCAGCCTCCCAAAGTGCTGGGATTACAGGTGTGAGCCGCCATGCCTGGCCATTAAACACCTTCTTTAACAGGCCTTTACTTATGATTCTCTTTAAAGTTTGGACACACATTGGCAGGAAGCTTTTAGAAATCATTTGCACTAATCTAAAATGCAGTCATGGCTCAGAGTAAAAGAATCTCAGCTCCTCAAAGCCAGCTGAAGCCTCTGAGGCCTAATCAGACAGGCTCCTGATCATCTTCGCTGTGTGTTCACTGCCCGTCTGCTGGATGGTCAGAACCCTTCTCATGTTTTGCGCACACATGGTGCTCAGGCACAGTGAGAGGAGAAGAGCAAGAAGGGAAGGAGGAAGCTGGTGAGCCAACGTCCTGTAGTCATTGGGCTTTCACCAGCCAGCGCCCAATGCAGACCCACCTGCCGCCCCCACTGAGCCCAGCAAAAGGAGCTGCCCTCGGCACTATCTTCCAAATGCTCATCCAATGATGTCACTGCTCTGGGCACCCTTAGAATGTGGTCCATGCCCAGCACTGCGATCCCACCTGCTCTCCCACTCTCTTGCCACCTGTATTAGTCAGGGTTCCCCAGAGGGACAGAACTAAGAGGATAGGTAGATATAAGGGGAGTTTATCTTAAAGTATTAACTTACACAATCACAAGGTCCTACAATAGGCTGTCTGCAAGCTTAAGGAGCAGGGAAGCCAGTCTGGGTCTCAAAACTGAAGAACTGGCCGGGCGCGGTGGCTCACGCCTGTAATCCCAGCACTTTGGGAGGCCGAGACGGGCGGATCACGAGGTCAGGAGATCGAGACCATCCTGGCTAACACGGTGAAACCCCGTCTCTACTAAAAAATACAAAAAACTAGCCGGGTGAGGTGGCAGGCGCCTGTAGTCCCAGCTACTCGGGAGGCTGAGGCAGGAGAATGGCGTGAACCCGGGAGGCGGAGATTGCAGTGAGCTGAGATCCGGCCACCACACTCCAGCCTGGGTGACAGAGCGAGACTCCGTCTCAAAAAAAAAAAAAAAAAAAAAAAAACTGAAGAACTTGGAGCGTGATGTTCGAGGGCAGGAAGCATCCAGCGCGGGAGAAAGACGTAGGCTGGGAGGCCAGGCCGATCTCAACTTTTCACGTTTTTCTGCCTGGCAACTGATTAGATGGTGCCCACCAGAATAAGGGTGGGTCTGCCTTCCCCAGCCCACTGACTCAAATGTTCCTCTCCTTTGGCGACACCCTCACAAACACACCCAGGATCAATACTTTGCCTCCTTCAATCCAATCAAGTTGACACTCAGTAGTAACCATCACACCCCCTTATTCTCCAAATAGCTTTTCTCGTTCCTGTAGTTCAGTTCATTCCCGTCTCAGGACCTCTGGCTGGCTGGTCATCCGACGATCTTCACATGGCAGTGTCAGGCCTCCCAGGCTTCGGCTTCAGTGTCACCTAAAGGAGGCCCCCGACCACTGTGGCTAAAGAGCATCCTGTCCCATCGGACCTCCTCTTGTTTCCTGTTGGCCATCTGTCCGCCTCCATGAGGCATACCCTCTGTGGTGCAAAGAGTTCAACTACCCTGGTGATCACTGGGTCCGAGGATAAGCACAGATATATCCGTTGGACACCTGAGTTAGTACCTGGTCCCCGGGCTCTGCAGAACACTGAAGAAAAGCCACTTGATTGGGACACAGAGCTGTCACTGAACTGAAAACCACTGAGGGCACAGGCTGAGGTCCGGTGGCCATGAGCAGCTGCACTTGGTCAGTGTTCTGTGAGAACAGGGAAATTGCCCTGCTTGCCTGCCTGTCTGAATGGGCATTGGGCTTTCGGGATTCAACTTGGACTAGAATAGAAACTACATTCTGACATCCTCACAGCTCTGTTCTTTGGGGTTTGGGGATTTGGGGTTTGTTTTTTGAGACAGAGTCTTGCTGTCACCCAGGCTGGAGTGCAGTGGTGCAATTGCAGCTCGCTGTGGCCTCAACCTCCCAGGCTCAAGGGATCCTCCTGTCTTAGCCTCCTGAGTAGCTAGTACAGGTGCACGCCACCACACCCAGCTAATTTTTAAAAAACTGTTTGTAGTCAGGATCTCACCGTGTTGCCCAAGCTGGTGTCAAACTCCTGGACTCAAGCAACCCTCCTGCCTTGGCGTCCTCCCAAAGGGCTAGGATTACAGGCGTGAGCCACCATGCCTGGCTCTTTCGGGTTTTGATAGGCATGCATTCTCAGCTGTAAAGGCACATACACACACTCATATTCACACACATATGTTCACACACGTACACATACATTCACATACATAAGGCCAAAGTTGTAAAAACCGACACGTTTGCCTCACAAACCTCACAGTCCACCCTTCAAAATACAGAGATGCAAACACAAGCAGCATCGCCTCTGCACACGTGTACACGCATGCTCCACCCCAGCCGATTTTCCAGCTCCCGGGCAGCAGGACCCAGCGGGGTAACCCCCATCCCAGGTCAAGCGAAGCAGCAGCC